CACGCTAAAAGGAATTGTTACGAACCGTGATTTGCGTTTTGAAAAAGACCTTACACGTCCGATTAGTGAAGTGATGACTTCTGAGAACATCATCACCACATCAGAAAACACAGATTTGGGAACTGCTGAAGATATTCTTCAGGCGAATAAAATTGAAAAATTACCAGTGGTGGACGATCAGAATAAATTGATCGGACTTATCACTTTTAGAGACATTATCAAGGTAAAAGAACACCCGAACTCTTGTAAAGATCAGTATGGACGTTTGCGCGTTGCTGCTGCTGTTGGGGTGACTCACGATACATTGGAGCGTACAACTGCATTGGTTGAGGCTGGTGTTGATGCGATTGTTATTGATACCGCTCACGGTCACACAGAAGGAGTTGTTGCTAAGCTAAAAGAGGCAAAAGCGAAATTCCCTGAATTGGAGATCATCGTTGGAAACATTGCAACTGCAGAGGCTGCTAAATTCCTTGCAGATGCTGGTGCGGATGCTGTGAAAGTTGGAATCGGACCAGGATCGATTTGTACTACACGAATCATTGCTGGAGTTGGAGTTCCTCAATTGACAGCCGTAAACGACGTAGCCAAAGCATTAGAAGGAACAGGTGTTCCAGTAATCGCTGATGGAGGTATTCGCTACACAGGAGATGTTGTTAAAGCAATCGCCGCCGGAGCGGACACAATCATGCTTGGTTCGATGTTTGCAGGTGTTGAAGAGTCTCCGGGAGAAACAATCATCTACCAGGGACGTAAATTCAAAACGTATCGTGGAATGGGATCTTTGGAAGCTATGCAGAAGGGATCGAAAGATCGTTACTTCCAGGCTGCCGAGGATGATGTTAAAAAATTAGTACCAGAAGGAATCTCAGGACGCGTACCATTTAAAGGGAAATTGGTCGAAGTAATGTACCAAATCATTGGTGGTCTTCGATCTGGAATGGGATACTGCGGTGCACCAAATATTACAGAGCTAAAAGGAGCGCGTTTTGTTCGAATTACATCAGCTGGAGTGCACGAAAGTCACCCACACGATGTTAC